TTATGTTCTACTTCTAAAGGTGCATATGTGCCAAAAAATGAAGACTTGAATCTTATGAAAAAATGCATTTCATCCTTAGATTCAACTTTGAAAACATGCATCAATAATCATAAGAAGCTTATGGATATGTGTGCCAAGTCTAAATCATCATCTACTCATCATGCACACATATATAGCAAAGTTTATAAGTGTTCAATTTGCGGCCGTAAAGGCCATCTAGCTAAATTTTGCTATGATGCACAAAAACATAAGAATATTAATCTTTCTTGTGCATCTCATGTAGCTTCCTCATCACATACACATGCATACGCTTATCATGCACATCATAAACATGCAAATGTGTTTAAATGTGATATTTGTGGACGTTTTGGCCATTTGGCAAAATTTTGCTATGATTTGAAAAAGACTTTACCTCTGCCAAATGATTTTATTAAACCACAAAAGTTTAAATGTGATGTTTGTGGTAGATTTGGCCATTTGGCAAAGTTTTGTTATGATTCAAAAAATTATTCAAACTTGCCAAATTTCTCAAGTAGACCACCTTTATTTAATGATGTTTCTCATTTGCAAAATAATTCTAAAAGACAATCTTTATTTGCAAATGTTCCACGTGCACCTTTTAATGGTCAACATAAGCAAATGCTTCCTTTCCATTGTACATATTGCAATCGGAAGGGTCATTTGAGTAATTATTGCTATGACCGATCCCGTGCACCATATATGTCCAAGAGGGTTCATAACCCTAGGACTTTGAGCTTTAATGATAGGGGTCATGTCCCTAAACAAACCAGCACCAAGAATACTTGGGTGCCAAAATGATTTTTAAAGCCAAGAATTTTAGTACTTTTTCTTTTTCTTGGTTTCAAAAAATGTATTTTAAAATTTTATGAAAACAATTCCTTTTATTGGTTAAAATCTTTTGTTTTCATGATTATTTGATTTGCTTTCATGAGAGGACTACGTTTATATAACCCTCCGGATTTATTAGGTGTTTATTCCCAAATCAAGTTTACCGGATGCTAAAATGATTATATGGGTTGGAACAAGCTCAAGAGCTTGATATAATTGTTGCCTCTCTTAAAAATTATGTTTTGATTTGTTGCTTTTGAATTCATTATAATTCACCTATATGATGATATTTATATGTTTGTGCTTATGGATCATCTATTCGTGCCTTATAATGTATTCTATGAGTGGTTTGATCAAGTTATGTAAAGAAAATTTTTCTTTTCAAACATCATTTTTGGTTTAAATGGTTGATTTATGATTTCATTTGATTGATTTGTTTTCATTTGAAAACTTTTTGCATGATTCTCATGTTCCTCTTCTTTTGATTTCATAAATCTATTATTATACATGGTTTTTATAATGAGACACTATCTTTATAATGTCATATCATTATGTGTCCTCATTTTGTCTTTTTGTATGTGAGTGGTGTTTAGCATATTTCTCATCTATGCTTGCTCACATATGTTTGCCATGGTCTTCATTGCATATATTCTATATGGCTTTTTGATAGGGGGAGCAATCCTTATATCTTTTTATGTGTTATACTCATACATGCTTATTGATAGGGGGAGCTTTCGCTCTCTTAATTCTTTTGTCCCCTTTTTGATGTTGTCAAAGGAGGAGAAATATTGTGAGTATATCTATCTTGTTTGTTTATATGCATGTGAATTACAATTCATTTCCTTTCATGCATATATCTCTTTTTGTAAATTGTTTGTCATCATCAAAAAGGGGAAGATTGTTGGCCTTCTTGTTTTGATGATGTTTAACAAACAATATCAAATGGAGGTTGGAGGAATTGTGGAGTGAAGCAACGTACAATTCAAGTTAAAGATCAAGTTCAAGCTTCATCCGCAAAGATTACCAAGTCAAGCATATTGAAGACCAATCAAGCTTGGGTAATTTAGTTTAGGAGTTTATATTATGTGTGTTATATACTCTAAGCTCAATTATCTATACACACACATTTATTATTGGTTTCTTCGTATATATATATATATAGTCATATATATATATATAAGTTTTGGTTTCTATGCATATATATAGTTATATATATACATACATATGTTTTGAGTTTTTATGGTTATATATATGAAATTCTATATTTCATATTTTCTATTATGTTTTTGAAAACATTGCATAGAATATGCAATTTTGTGAAAATATTGTATTCTTAGTTTATAGACTTCAATATCAGTTTATACATGTTTTACTAAGTCTACAAAAACATTTCACAAAGTTTCAAAAGTTGGTTTATGTCAAAACATCAAAATTCAAGTATCTCATATTTTCATGTTTTGGACTATTTTGTAAAATGATGATATTTTTCATTTGGGAAGTCCTTTTTCGAAACCAGTCGTTGTAGCATGTTTATTATCATGTCTACAATCATTCCCCAAAGTTTTACATTTTTTGGAATTTATTTGATATTTTTAAACAGTGTTTTAAAATCAGCTTTGTTTTCTGAAATGTCTGTTTTCGGTCGACCGGTACGGTCGACCGGTCAATTGACCATTCGTCAGTATTTTTCCAGAGAGTCATCGGTCGACCGGTCCGGTCGACCGAGAGCTCAAATCGGTCGACCGACAGAATTTCCGGTCGACCGACGATGGTCCAGAACGTTTTCTTCGTGTTTTTGCTCTCATCGGTCGACCGACGGAATTTTCGGTCGACCGACAATATAGCCGTTGCTTTTTAACGGCTCTTTCTCTGAGCTGTTTGCTGGGGTTTTTGGTCATTTTGTTTTGGGGGTTTTTTTTGCTGAGATTTCTAGTGGGTATATATACCCCATTGCTGATGTCTTTTCAAGTTAACTAAGAGAGTTTTTAATCAAGTTTAATAAAGTTTTTAACAAGGGTTTTAGTTTGGTTTAAGTGTGTTTAAAAAGCTTTTAAGCAAATTGAGAGTTTGTTTTTGTGATTCAATTCTACAAGAGCTTGAGGAGATCATCTATTGGTGTTTGGGCATTCAACTATTCTCCCTCCAACTCTTGATATATTGAGAAGTTTTCTAAACTCTATTTCTAGCTTTTTTATATATTTGATTATCATTGTTATTAAGCTAGAACTACATTGAGTTTAGTTTTGATTTATATCTCTTTGTTCACACACAACCTTTTGAGCTTATTGTATTTACATTCATAGTATAATTTGGGGTTGTGGGTTTGTGACTAAGAGTTGTGCTTAATTGAGTTCTCACTTTGTTTTGAGAACAATCATTTGTCATATTTGTGCTTATTGTGAGAATCACTTTGTAATACACTTGTACACCGAGTGAGGAGTGTGTGGTGAGAGTCGGGGATCGTCCCAAGAGGAGTGGCGTCGGTTAACGTGCCTAGAGAGAGGGTGTCACCGAGCACTTGAGGGAGACACGGCTAGGTCCAACACTTAGTGGGTGTAGAGTGTGATTGCAAGAGTGTGAGTTGTAGAGTTTTCGGTTAGCTAGAAAACCGAGTGTGTAGAAGAAGTTCCGGCTTCCAAACCGGATTGTGTTAGTGGATTTCTCCCCGGGAGTGGGGAGCGGAGACGTAGGACGGAAGGTCCGAACTCCGTGATCATATTGCTTGTTTGAGTGTGCTTTGGCGTTCATTCATATTTATGTTCATATCTTATATCGCCATTGTCATTAGCTCATTATCTATATCATCCACTATCTTGTTTACATTGTTTACCCTTGTGTTCATATATTATATCTCTTTGTTTGCATTGCTTATCCTAGCTTATATATCTTGTGGTATTTCATATTTGCTAGGATAACTTATTAATTAATTTTAATTGGCATTTAATCGGATTAGATTAGCATAAGACCCTAATCACCCCCCTCTAGGGTCTAACACTTATCGGTTCTCTTGTCGAAGACGACCCACTACGAGCTCACTCGACCAGTTATTTGACGCCTCGCGAGGTTGACTTGAAAGGCATTACTTCTCGACCAAGCTAAAGGACGACTTCAACCTCGAGTCTCTCCCACTGACAGTGCGTCAGCGTGACATTAAATGCTTGGCAGGCGCTATCATTCCTCTAGCCCCAATAGTCTTCATGACACATTGGACCACGACGGCACCACCATGCCCCTAATCACTTCGCATTAAATACCGAGGTGTCCTCTCCTCCACTCGTTGACCGACACCTGTAAAGTAGGTGCTGACGTAGCCGCCATGCCATACTGTATTCAGCCGAGATTATCGTTCTATCCTTTTTTTCGCCACTATAAATAGATGTACTATTCCAAATACCAAAGTAAGCAATATCTGAGAATTATACTGCACTACACTTTTTTTTTTGTTGACAAGGGAACCTTGGTCAGTACCTCCACTTAAACTCCCTTTGGAGTCCGCCGCACCCCGGTTCAAATCCCCCCAGTCCCCAACAATCTGCAAGGAGCTACCCCTTAAAGTACTAGGGGGCTCATCCCCAGCACACTTAAGAACTCACACAGTTCATCATTTTCCCATTCATGTCCATCAACTGACTTGATCGCCGGAGGAACAATGGGGGAACTAGTCCCCGTCCTCTCATGAATTTCTATTTGTGCAGGCTAAAGCTACTCAACTCAAGATCAGATATTCGAAGAAGTTAGCAGCACCCCAATCAACCTCACCCCCATTATAATATCTGTTTGATATTAACATCAACACAAACATTAGTTGAAAAGATTAAGTTATGATTTTAGATTTCTAAAAGAGAATGACCATAAAATACATTTGAGAAGTTTTATGTTTTATGATACATAATTCTCCTCACTATCACCTATAAATTAAAGTTTTATCTTTTTTTTACCCGAGGTAAGATACAAGATTATTTTTTATTCACAAATAAAAACAAAATTGATAATTGCTAAAAGACACGTGCTATATACTAGTAGTAATTTATTAATGATGGTTAATATTAGTGATGATTAAAGTCTAATTTGTCATGTGATTCATGGTTTAAACCTTTCCTTCTCGACGTTCTCACGCTTTGACTTTACAAGGGGCGGCATTGCTAATCGATTTCCGCGCGTGTTAAATACAAATTTCCACCCCAACTTTTAAAAATCAAAATTATCAAATTGACCACGTGGGCTTAATCAACGAGGGGCTTAGCTAAATGGGCGTTTTCCTGTCAAATTCATTAGAAATTCCCAATTCAACGCTCATAGAGAAAAGAGGAAGCGTGGGGGAAAAAGTCAAATTTTTTTCGTTTCTTCTCAAAAATTTTCGTCTTTTCTCTCAGGCCATGATCTTAGATGGTTTCTACTTGCAGAAAGAAGTAAGTGGTAGTAATAAGCGAATTATACCTTTTTCTTTCGTTTAAGAAACGGATTATTTTGGTTTCTTTGGTAACTTGCTGTACTTCGTTGTGTGAAATTAGGTTTTTGTGGTTGTTTGGATTGACTTCTTTCATACAAAGGTGTTTGGTTTTCATTTATTATTATTATGGGGATGCTGAATAATTTGGTTAAAATTTGAAGAAATTCGCCAACTTATGATCTTTGATGCAGTAGGGGAAGTTTTAGATTGGCACTGAAAGATGCAGATAAGGTGTTCGATGATATATATGCTGGAGTAGTGGAAACAAAGCAGATGCGGGGTGGATATAGGTAAATTGCTATTTATCTTACGCTATTGCTTTTAGTGAACATCATGCTTGAATTTTAGCACTTAGCGGGGCATGTTAAATTGAGCAACTTGTTATATGCTTACTCTTAACTCTTGAGTATACATTATGTTGACGTTACACCGAATATAACCTGCAAGTATCTGTTGTTTTATGCAGAGTTTGTTTCTAGAAGTCATGAATGTGTCAACAGGTCTAAGAGTAGTCATGCTTTTTCCTAAACATGAGTTTCTTTAGGGAGACGACATGCGCAAAACCTTATTATGCTTTTGATTCTTACATAAAGGTTGTACAGAGTTGTCCTGGGAGTTGAGATATAGAGTTATGTGGGAACTGCTTTTAATATATAGCATATAAATATGAACTTTTAGTCAGTTTTGTCTAAATTCAAGGATGATGTATGTGCTTCTCATTGTTTAAATAAACCCGTTATATAACCCGTTTTGTAACTTAACGGTGCCAAGAAAACACGTTATATTGCGTTAAATATGCGTTACGTTATATAACCAATTAACAATTAACATGAGGTTTTTAAGGTTAAATTGCATCTCTCATTAGGACGCGTTGATGCATCTCCCACCGTCCAAATCATTTAAACTCTACCATTGTAGTCCCGATCACCCCATTCTCTTTCTGCAAATATACGATCTCTTCGCCTCTTCCAACCCAAACTCTAGCTTTTTGCCTCCTCTAAAACTCATCCACCTATCAGCGGCTTCTGTGATTCTAATAAGGTAAATTTTTTATTTTTCAGTTATATATCAGGCATCTCAGTGTAAATCCTTTCAATAAATAGTGATTCTGAATTACCTTCCAAATTCCAATCTTTTTTATTACCAATTTACCATTAGTCATATCAAATCTGTTACTCCACTACTTTACCCTTCAAAATAATTTTTTAAAATCTGTCACAAAATTAGAATACTGAGATTAATTTGTGGGTTAATTGTGTTAGTTAGATAATTACTTTTAGTTATTACTTGATTTTGATTAGGTCTTAGTTTTCAGTTAATACTAGAGTTTGTGAAATTAAGTTTGCACGCAATCTCTGTGTATACAAAATTTCTTACTGTTGTTACATAACTATGTTTAGTTTGGTTGACATAGTGAACTTGATTAGGAATTATAATATTTTTGTGAAGTTAAGAACTTGAGAGTTGGAAGTGTTTAGACTTGTTTTTATTGCCTTAAACTTGACGATGTTAATGTATTTGATCATTTGATGACGCTTTTTGGAACGGTTGTTACTGTCATATATGACTAACTTTTGTTAAGAAATTGTGATGCTATAGGTTTATATTTGATAATTGTGATGTTATGTTTGAAAAGTTTGGTTATTCTAAATATTAAAGTTATTATGTATTATTAGTATTTATAAAATATCTAAATAATTAATAAACAATATAACCTAATTTATGTGTTACGTTTTTTTCCTTAACCCTTAACACGAGGACAAGGGTTACATAACCCATTTTTTATTTTCAACATTGGTGTTCTTTCTTGATGCGTGTGAAGTTTTAAACTTCAGTCAGGGATATGGACAATCTATCAAAAAATATGGTTAGAACATTTCTACGGAATGTGTTTAACTAACTAACTACTTTTTAGTCTAGCTTCTTTTGGCGTTGTTATGAATTAACTTTCATCACTTTATCACATCAATAATTACAGTACTCTAACTCCGTACAAACTATTACTTAAAACAAACATATTTGGTCTCCCATCTGTTTTTTGGTGCCATTCCCACACAAATATGGTTTTGCTATGTACATTATTTGGTTTAATCCCCCCCCCAAAAAAAAAAAATTAAAATAAAAAATAAAAAATAAAAATAAAAATAAAAAATTCTCTAAATAAAAAAGAAAAAAAAGCACTAGTCCAGGTTAAATTCTTTGCACGTGTTCGATTTATTTATTTTATTGGTATATGTAAAAATTTAATTCTTGCACTGTAGATTTGAAATGTGGAGTTGTTGACATAATTTTTTGTCAATTATCTGCTGGATGTTCATTTTCCATGTCCTTAAACTCAGAATAGGCATCTGTTCTCTTTTTCAACTCTGGTGATCTCTCCAAGATGTATCAGAGGTAAACTATCTTCCTTACTAAATTCAATCTCATACTAATATGTTAGTCAATGTACGGGTTGACATGCCATCAGTGCAATGTGCTAAAGAACCTAATTGCTAGTTTTTGGCTCCACATTTCATCTTTTTCATTCCTAAGGCAGTCTTGAGTTCAGATCACAAGTTTAGGACTATTAAGCTATAGGTATGAAGTGTCTAGTTCATTGACATAACTCGGTCTAAAATTAGATTCTCTAGATAACAGACTTACGACCCTGTCTGCAATCTGTTGTATATGAGTATTCTGCATACTCAAGATTCATTATGGACCTTTTTCTTTCGTGGGTTTGTTTTTTGGTGAGAAAAAAGGTGGGTGCGACCATGCACTCCCCCCCACCCCCACCCCCACTTCTCTCTGTTTCATTACTAAGAATTTGACAAAACATCAATGGAAAAAAAAAGCCAAAGTACGCAAGGGTGACCATTACAGAAGATAAATATTAGGAGCCAAAGTACGCAATACTCCTGAGACCCAAAAGGAAACTTTTAAATGGATAATTATATTTAGTGTCTCTCCATGACATTGTCCTGCTACACCCCTTGCTCCAGGGAAAATTATTTTAGTCACTCCTAATAGATTAAAGTTGGAGGAACTAATCTGCACGCTCCTGTCCCCTCCTGGAAGAATAGACGACCAATGTATATTGTTATGATACTTTAATGATATGCGAGACAACAAAAGCATTGAATATTGCTTTATTAGTATACTTCCCAATTCCTCAAGGGACGTAACCTCACCCAAATCCCAGAACAATATTTTATTACTGTTAACATTTTGATTGTTCCCTCCCCAAGCATTTCCTGGATGGAAGCTTGTGGAAGCTTGTAGTGCATGTATCCTAAAATGGATCAACAACTTATCCCAAGTTTTTTTACGGATAAGACCATTTCAGAAGGTGATGAATGAATTTATTGTTTCTCCTTCACTTCTATACAACACGCATATGTTTGGTCCTTGCCATTTATGTTTTAGATGGTTATCCTCAGGAAGAATGGCGTTTTTCATTGTCAGCAGATAAACGCTCTGAGTTTAAGAGGAACAGCAAGTCCATAGAAGTGGAAGTTCCTCTTACAGCAAAGAATCCTTTGTTACACTAAGTCCATGGAGGTGTTGTCGTCTAAGGTAGATAGTTCTGGCCGAATCGAGTTTAATTTGTTTAGAAACTTATCTTTTTTATTCCCTACAACTATGTCAAAGTCAGTAGTGTCAATAATCCGTCTGCCTCTTTTTCGGAAAGATGCTATCTGTCCCTATTTGCTAAGTCCTTGGGAGCAAACAAAAAAGAATTTCTGTGAAAAATACGTTTAATCGCAACATTTATTCTGCAAGAAATTAATTGTATCCCCATACCCCACACAAAGGAAATCATTGACATAAATAATCATCGACTCTCGAAAATCATTTTCATAGTAAGGATGAATTACATTCATTATGATCCTGTTGTTGAAGGTTGAACACCTTGATTCCAGTCCATTCCAACAACAGATCTCCAAATCATACAATAAACCATACGTGGTGACCACTCTAATTTTGAGTCACGTATTGCATTGAACAAATTTGGGCAGGTTTGAGGTCAGTGGCGGAGACATTCATTGGCAAGAGGGGGCCATGGTCACCCCCAACCAATCTAATTTTTCAATAGGAAATTTATGTGGGCAGTTGGTTTTGTATAGGCTAATGTTTCATTGACTATTTCAATTTGGTCCCTCTATCAAACCAAGTCAATTTGGCCCCTCCACTCCACCATCAGGTTTGACAAAACCTTCACCCACCCAAGTCAAATTAGATTTAATTTAATAAACAAACAAAAATAAAAATTGAAGCTACCATGCACTAGAAAAAACAAAGAAAAAAAAGTCTTCTCAAATTTCCTTTCTGTACTCCTCTTTCACAAACTTTAATCAAAACTACTCATAAATCTCTCAATTCTTCTTTCCCCTTTCCAATTTTCATTTCTATTTAACAAATCTAACCTTAATTGTCACTTACCTCATTGACTTGGGTGTCCGAACGATTTTTTTGTCGAATCTTGAAAGCCTTTTTTGATTAAGGTGAAGAATCACTATATACCTTGTTTAATATACTTATTTGTTCTAATTTTTTATTTAGTGGTATTGTGTTAAAACAACTTTGCCATTAGTAGCAAATCTTAGTTTTTATTGTTCTTTGTATTTGTAGTAGAGCCAAATTGATAATTTATTAGCTTGTTGAAAATTTTAAATCTTACTTATTCCCGTATGTTATTTTTCCCTCCTTTTGATATTAGTGCTTTATGTATTCTTGTTTTGATGTATAAATTATTACTATTTATTGAAAATTATTATTTATTTGCAATTAAGGAGGTAAATTTGTAAGATTGTTATTGTTAATGTCAGCTTGTTGGCATTAGCAATTCAATTTTTTTTCCTTTGTTTGATGCATTACCAATTGATTTATTTAATATTTCTTTGATGCATTGCAAGTTTGCAACTATATATTTGTATTTTAACCAGTAGATACTATTTAATATAATATTTTATTCCATTCTGATGTTTATATATATATTGGCCTCCCGAACTAGGAATCTTGGCTCCGCCACTGTTTGAGGTCCCTTATGGCCCTTTGCCAAATGATTGGTTTGACCTCCTTAAATTTTCACTCCAACTTAACCATTGTCTTTAATATAGGGTATCGGACATCTTTTTACAAATTAGCACTGCCAGTTGTTTTTTGAAAGCTTCAATTGTGTTAACTCCTGATTTCTGGTTATGTTCTCTAGAAACGCACAGCACTAGTCTATGAATAATGCTGGTTTTGGATCTCATTTAAACTGTTTCTTTGGATAATATTTACTTATGTCCCCTGTCTTAAGAGGATAGACCATACCCACAATTTACTTCAAAAAAAAAGTAACAGAAAAATAAATAGAACTTCTGATGCCTAGCTGTATATAAGGTGTTCTAAGCTTTAATTCAAATGTATATAGAGTTTGCCTTCTCATCAGAAGCTTGAATTTCTTTTGGAAACTTTAAAACCCTTCAACCTCCCAATCATACTTGTGCAGATTCAGACTGCTTGTTCTAATGTTCCTGCTTCCAGAATAGAGATAACGCGGAATACTGGGAAGTGAGTTTAGTAGGTGAAGATGGAAATGCTGCAGGGCATTTGGCCTTGCAGGTAGCCAATATCAGATACGATAAAGCAATAAATGCTTGAATGTTTCTAAGTCACTTAATGGAAGGTATATACAAATACACCCTGTCATCGTAAATGATAATGTACCCTACTGGCACAATCTTTTTAACTTCTGGCCTTATAAACTATAATAATGCGAGAATGCAACATCTGATACATCTGTGATTGATAACATAGTATTCACAATTTAGGATATGTAAACTCTTGCATTTGATAGACGACAGAAAAACCCAACCCCACATCATAAACCCTGAGTATCTTACTTCAACATATTTGTTACATATATGACATTGGTGTTTCATCTATTGTGAAAAGAATCCTATTTTTAATGACGCTATCATATCAAATTTCAAAATCCTCAGCTGAAATTCTGAAATAAATCTGAACAATTGTCTGCACGAATTAGCATGCACCTCCCTTGAATTATTATGTTTATATGCATCTAGTTAAGAGTGTTAATTGTTTTTCCTACATGTAATGTCTAGTTCGATATTTATTCGCTTAAGTATCCGGTCATATTTGATTTGATAGTTCATTAAACAATAAATGAATAGTTTTTGGTATTCGGTTCATAAACGAATAGAATTTAACCATAGGCATAGTAGCCGGTTCATTCTGATTCACGGGACAAGTATGGGAACATGGTACACCACTCATTAGGAATCGGGTATGAGGGTGTAGGTTTATATAGTACGCAAGGAAATGTGGTACGCCTAAGGTTCAGTTCTTAAATGCTACTTGATATTAGTAATAGTAAAAGAACCTAAAGAATCATGTCGCAATTAAGATACAAATACTTTATTTGCTTAATTTCTCATGTTTTTTAATTGTTTATTCTTTTAAAAAGAGTTATTTTTTTCAAAATTTTAACTAGTTTGAATTCCAAATTGGGTCAGTGGAGTTAGGTGAATCGGGTTGTGTTCCATGTGAATCTGGGACGATTGCACTGGGTCGTGGTTCGCTATAGCATACCACGTTCCCGACTTCTGTGACCGTAGATATATTCTATTCATTTGTTTAATAAACTATTCATTTATATATTATACTTTAGACCTATAATTTATAGTTATTATATTTCTATGCATCCCTACACAAAGAGCCTTATATAAGTAGTTTTGATTTGTGAATATTACATTTATCTCTAGGTTGCATATTCATTTGTTGTATCATGTTTGGCTCATGCTTGATTGCATTATAAGACTAGGATATGATAATGAATATTTATCAAATACTTACCTAATATCTAACGAATATGAACCAAATAATTCACAAAAGACTACCTAAAAACCAAGAATTCGCAAATAGTTGTTGAATATTCGAATACTAATCGAATAGAATACGATCATACATTTCCTACTTCGTTTTGAATGCGAATAGTCGAACATGAGCTGGATATGGATACGAATATTGTGGTATTCGATCCAAATTCAGTTCATTTCCACCCCTAGACTCAAGACGTGTAGTGTCTGTCATTTTATACTATTTAATATTGGTGTTTCAGTTTATCCTTGTTTTTTCTTTCTTTCTTTTGAGTGGGTTCTCAAGTATGTTTAATCCATTAGTAGAGGAATAGATGCAGGAATGGTTATGAAAGTTAACACACATCAACTCGCTAAAAATGTGAAAATTTCAGTCAACTGCATTATGACATTTCATCAGTTTCCTTAATTTTTTTTCTTTAATGTTTTTTTTCTTTAATGTTTTTTCTTAACTCCTTGTTAGTTCACCAGACAAGGTAGCAGCCTGCGAGTGCAGGCTTCTTCTACTGGGGGTGGAGAATCCCACCTCGAGTTTCTTTTCCAGCTGAAGATAGAATATAAAATTCTTCCTCTTTAGCACCGGGAGATAGAATATAAAATTCTTCCTCTCCTCGGACCTTTCCGATGCTCGGAGTGGCGACCCCACTCCCAGTTCATCATTCCGGGTGCTCGGAGTGGAGATCCCATTCCCAGTTCATCCTTCCAGATACTGGGGGTGGAGAATCCCACCTCGAGTTTCTTTTCCAGCTGAAGATAGAATATAAAATTCTTCCTCTTTAGCACCGGGAGATAGAATATAAAATTCTTCCTCTCCTCGGACCTTTCCGATGCTCGGAGTGGCGACCCCACTCCCAGTTCATCATTCCGGGTGCTCGGAGTGGAGATCCCATTCCCAGTTCATCCTTCCAGATACTGGGGGTGGAGAATCCCACCTCGAGTTTCTTTTCCAGCTGAAGATAGAATATAAAATTCTTCCTCTTTAGCACCGGGAGATAGAATATAAAATTCTTCCTCTCCTCGGACCTTTCCGATGCTCGGAGTGGCGACCCCACTCCCAGTTCATCATTCCGGGTGCTCGGAGTGGAGATCCCATTCCCAGTTCATCCTTCCAGATACTGGGGGTGGAGAATCCCACCTCGAGTTTCTTTTCCAGCTGAAGATAGAATATAAAATTCTTCCTCTTTAGCACCGGGAGATAGAATATAAAATTCTTCCTCTCCTCGGACCTTTCCGATGCTCGGAGTGGCGACCCCACTCCCAGTTCATCATTCCGGGTGCTCGGAGTGGAGATCCCATTCCCAGTTCATCCTTCCAGATACTGGGGGTGGAGAATCCCACCTCGAGTTTCTTTTCCAGCTGAAGATAGAATATAAAATTCTTCCTCTTTAGCACCGGGAGATAGAATATAAAATTCTTCCTCTCCTCGGACCTTTCCGATGCTCGGAGTGGCGACCCCACTCCCAGTTCATCATTCCGGGTGCTCGGAGTGGAGATCCCATTCCCAGTTCATCCTTCCAGATACTGGGGGTGGAGAATCCCACCTCGAGTTTCTTTTCCAGCTGAAGATAGAATATAAAATTCTTCCTCTTTAGCACCGGGAGATAGAATATAAAATTCTTCCTCTCCTCGGACCTTTCCGATGCTCGGAGTGGCGACCCCACTCCCAGTTCATCATTCCGGGTGCTCGGAGTGGAGATCCCATTCCCAGTTCATCCTTCCAGATACTGGGGGTGGAGAATCCCACCTCGAGTTTCTTTTCCAGCTGAAGATAGAATATAAAATTCTTCCTCTTTAGCACCGGGAGATAGAATATAAAATTCTTCCTCTCCTCGGACCTTTCCGATGCTCGGAGTGGCGACCCCACTCCCAGTTCATCATTCCGGGTGCTCGGAGTGGAGATCCCATTCCCAGTTCATCCTTCCAGATACTGGGGGTGGAGAATCCCACCTCGAGTTTCTTTTCCAGCTGAAGATAGAATATAAAATTCTTCCTCTTTAGCACCGGGAGATAGAATATAAAATTCTTCCTCTCCTCGGACCTTTCCGATGCTCGGAGTGGCGACCCCACTCCCAGTTCATCATTCCGGGTGCTCGGAGTGGAGATCCCATTCCCAGTTCATCCTTCCAGATACTGGGGGTGGAGAATCCCACCTCGAGTTTCTTTTCCAGCTGAAGATAGAATATAAAATTCTTCCTCTTTAGCACCGGGAGATAGAATATAAAATTCTTCCTCTCCTCGGACCTTTCCGATGCTCGGAGTGGCGACCCCACTCCCAGTTCATCATTCCGGGTGCTCGGAGTGGAGATCCCATTCCCAGTTCATCCTTCCAGATACTGGGGGTGGAGAATCCCACCTCGAGTTTCTTTTCCAGCTGAAGATAGAATATAAAATTCTTCCTCTTTAGCACCGGGAGATAGAATATAAAATTCTTCCTCTCCTCGGACCTTTCCGATGCTCGGAGTGGCGACCCCACTCCCAGTTCATCATTCCGGGTGCTCGGAGTGGAGATCCCATTCCCAGTTCATCCTTCCAGATACTGGGGGTGGAGAATCCCACCTCGAGTTTCTTTTCCAGCTGAAGATAGAATATAAAATTCTTCCTCTTTAGCACCGGGAGATAGAATATAAAATTCTTCCTCTCCTCGGACCTTTCCGATGCTCGGAGTGGCGACCCCACTCCCAGTTCATCATTCCGGGTGCTCGGAGTGGAGATCCCATTCCCAGTTCATCCTTCCAGATACTGGGGGTGGAGAATCCCACCTCGAGTTTCTTTTCCAGCTGAAGATAGAATATAAAATTCTTCCTCTTTAGCACCGGGAGATAGAATATAAAATTCTTCCTCTCCTCGGACCTTTCCGATGCTCGGAGTGGCGACCCCACTCCCAGTTCATCATTCCGGGTGCTCGGAGTGGAGATCCCATTCCCAGTTCATCCTTCCAGATACTGGGGGTGGAGAATCCCACCTCGAGTTTCTTTTCCAGCTGAAGATAGAATATAAAATTCTTCCTCTTTAGCACCGGGAGATAGAATATAAAATTCTTCCTCTCCTCGGACCTTTCCGATGCTCGGAGTGGCGACCCCACTCCCAGTTCATCATTCCGGGTGCTCGGAGTGGAGATCCCATTCCCAGTTCATCCTTCCAGATACTGGGGGTGGAGAATCCCACCTCGAGTTTCTTTTCCAGCTGAAGATAGAATATAAAATTCTTCCTCTTTAGCACCGGGAGATAGAATATAAAATTCTTCCTCTCCTCGGACCTTTCCGATGCTCGGAGTGGCGACCCCACTCCCAGTTCATCATTCCGGGTGCTCGGAGTGGAGATCCCATTCCCAGTTCATCCTTCCAGATACTGGGGGTGGAGAATCCCACCTCGAGTTTCTTTTCCAGCTGAAGATAGAATATAAAATTCTTCCTCTTTAGCACCGGGAGATAGAATATAAAATTCTTCCTCTCCTCGGACCTTTCCGATGCTCGGAGTGGCGACCCCACTCCCAGTTCATCATTCCGGGTGCTCGGAGTGGAGATCCCATTCCCAGTTCATCCTTCCAGATACTGGGGGTGGAGAATCCCACCTCGAGTTTCTTTTCCAGCTGAAGATAGAATAT